TCGTGATGCATAGGAAGAAATTAAATGCCACAATTTAAAACGCCTAATAAACTTGCAATTGAATTGCTGTTGTGGAATCTACGACAGTTCACACCGTTGTGTGTGCTAAGTTTACAGCAGCTGTGTGGATATTCTATTTCGGATTCATTTAGCGCCCTTCTAGTAAGTACGGCTAGGGTTCATCATGATGCAGCTGAACATTCAATTATTCATTCTGTCAAAGATTCCTTACCCCCCCCCCCAAAAAATATATATTACATTGTCGTATTTACATCATATGATCATGAGAATCTATTCACATGTTGTGGAGCAGTGGTGACCCCACGTATATTTTATTTATCCTTGGGCCCGATGCACTTTGCCATACACTCGACTATGAGATTTGTCGCATGATGACAGACAGAAGGTTTTTTGTTATTGTTTAATCCTCCGAATTGGACTTTTCCACATTTTTCGTTAATAGATTGCACTGCTAAATATGATGTTGTGGATTTTTGTGGAGGCATGGCGTCGTGAGCGAGCCGGCATCATCAACTCGACACACTTGAAAATCCAGTTTGATCACGGCCAGCCAAAACCCCATGGTCTCGGTGACAACGCAAGCTCAGGGCTCTGACTTGTGAGTCACTTGGCCATGTGAGCAAAATTAACCTTTTCACACAAGGCTCATTTTACAAAGCAAATAAATCTTGGGAAACTAAATGAGTTTTTTTTATTCTACCAGGTAAGGCCCACTGAGCTATATAGCTCTTTATTCAGAAGCGACCTGGCCACATAATAGCCCAATGAAGTGGCTTATGACGTGAAAATGTATAGCAGCCAGATACTCTAAACACATTTTTATTCTAAATGTGGAGGGAAAAACCGGAGGACCTGGAGAAAAATCCACGTGACCACAGGGAGAACATGCAAACTCCACATATACAGCAGGCGTCAGGGTCGGGATCGAACCCACGACTTCCTGTATACGAGGCGAGGTAGTTAACATCTCCTAGCCACCGTGACTAGTGAATTACAAAAGAAACACACTCGGGATTCTAAAGATGAACGGATACTCTGACCGTACTATCCGCCAAGCTGTTTCTCCCACCATACAGAAACAACCACCTGATACTCCGATCAAAATCATCACGTTACCATACATAGCAGGCGCTACCAAACAGATTTCCAAAATTCTAAACAAACACAAGATCCAGGTCCGGTTCAATACAGCACACAAAATCCGTGATCTGATGCCATCCGTAAAGGATGTCATTCCTGACTTGCAGTACCCCGGTGTTTACAAATTGAGTTGTACCTGCGGTGACTGCTATATCGGGGAGACGAAACGACATTCCTGACCGAATTCGCGAGCACAAATCAGATTTGAAACACGGCAGAACGAATTCTTCGGCCGTGGCTGATCATTATTTCAACACAGCGGGTTCTCATGATATTGTTTTCTCCGATACCAACGTACTATGCAAACCTCCCGGTTATTACCAGAGATTTGTCCATGAAGCCATCCAGATATACAAACATAGACACAACTTCAACCTAGAGGATGGTTTTAAATTGAGCAACCATTGGAAAGATGTTATAAACCAAGTCAAACTTTAGCTGCCTTATAATTGTACAGCCATTTCCATTGCTTTCAGTGAGTTGTATGTACTCCTGCATCTCTTCCCCCGAACCCCCTGCAGCATAACAAAAGGCGGCTTAACTTAGCCCCCCCCCCCACCCACGCCCCTTCCTGGCTCCTCCTGTATATAATCTCGGGTGTCTCAGAGCTCTTCACTTGATACAGATATTCTGCTGTGACTGTTCCTACGTGACTTTACCGAAAAACCAAAGAGTACGATAAGGTATATTGACACTGCCGCTTTGATACTTCTTGTCGTTGCGAAAAAGTTGGCTCGCCCCCTTTTTTGAGAAAAGTCCCTCGCACCTTCGAGGGAGAACAGCTGGCAAACATTGCGACGCGGCGCAGTTGCCCGGGGTGGGCGAACGAAGGGCGTCTCTAGAAACCAGCCGTGACTGTGAATTGCATTGTCAAACGCAACGCAATTGCATAGGGAGACAAGTCCGGGCGCATTCCTCGCCCTCCCGAGTTGGAAATTCGTCACCGAGGCTCGTGCAGTGCGCCCGTTGCTCCGGGTGGGTCCGTGACTCACGGGTGATGGCAGTGACTTTTTTTTTTAATATCGAAAATATTTCCATGAAATTACGATCCCAGGCGATTCGTTGGAGGTTAGTGAGGCGGTGGTGGCGGCGGCAGCGACATTTTGGGTTTTGTTACGAAATGGAGCAAAAAGTGGGTCGCAATATAAGCCGCACAGCTCATGTGTTGATTCACTCTCTAAATCTCCCGCAGTAGGTTCAAGGGTTGTTTTATTTTTTCGTAGATTGTGTTTGTCGTACGACGCGAATTTGTACGTAATGTGTTTTTTTTGTCGTTTGCTATTATCGGTTGAGTTTTTCCGCGTTCACATCGCCAAGTTTTGACGTGTGCAAGTGTGTTTTTTTGGGGGGGGCTTTTAATATTTACCGATGAGTTAACGTTTAAACCTCCTCTGTTACTTGACCCACGGGAGTTAAGTCGATTATGTTGCACTGTGCAACGGGATTGGGTTAACTTGTTTTCCAAATCGCTGTGGATAGAATTGGAGTTAGAGTTAATGTTCTCAAAAGGCATTAAACATACCCAGCTGTCTATAATTGGACGAGAGCTGGGCCATCCGATTCCTTAAGTAATCGATTCCTCTACGGATTTCCAGTTGAATTCATTCAACTAATCGGATAACGTGAAAATATATGTGTGGGTAGGACAAAAAAGACTTAATTTGGTTACCACGTATGCCGCTGGACGAGATGTGGTGGGCGGGGCTTGGTGACCTCATCGACGTCGTTTGCGCTGTCGTGCCTGGCATGCCGCGTTGTTGTTGGGTCGGGGGGGGCAGGACACGTGGGCGGCCTCCAATTTTTTTTCAACAACCAACGCCAGGAGGTAATCGAGCACGCAAAAAAAACACACGAGGTCAAATTAAGATTTTTAGTCGATTAATCGACATCGATTTAATGGGGGGCCCAGCTTTGATTTGGATCTTCGGTGTAACAGGTCAAAGTCATCGGCCTGGCGGTTGACCTCGCTGCCTTTATCGTGGAGAAATTTTGGCCGTGGGGCAATTCAATGCGGACGCTCCCCACCCACGCCTGGTGCTGTCACCGCGAGGTTCTCGCCCAATGACAGCGGCAAGGCGCCGCATACTTTGGTCGACAAGGTTACTCCGGCGTGTTTATTGGGCCTTGGGACGCGTGACCTTGGTCTTTGCAAAATAAATTGGGTGGGGCGGGACGTTGGCGGATGCCTGTGGTGACTTCCACGTGGTCGCTTTGCCCATTTCGGCGTTTGCGGTTCAAGGATTCAGCCCTTAGCCAACGTGTGCTCATTTTCTCTCCGTACAACACAGCGCGTGCCGTGAATAGGGGGAGGCCCGCTTTGTTTGTGACCTGAATATTTATTGAAGCTAATTTTAACGTGCGCCCTCCAGGTGAGTGATCGTTTGCAGTTGAACAGTTGAAGGACGTGGCTTTGCTTGGCTTGGCTTGGCTTGATTTCATGCCGTGCAGTTTTGTTATTTTCCATTTATTTGTGCGCGCGCGTGCGTGTGTGGGGTCGGCTCCGTGTGTAAACATAAGCACTAGGGAGACAAATGTGGTTGGGCGTGGTGCTTGCACCCCCCCGCCCCCTCGTGTGCTGTGCCGACCTTCATAAGTGGCAACAGCACTTGGCCCAACAGTCTGTTAAAGGCAATATACGGGTTAGGGTTATCTACACACGCACACTCTGAACCCGGTGACCTGAGTTTCATTCACGGTTGTGGTTAAAATCGGCGGTGAGTGATAACTGAACCGGTTCCGGGCACTCGCCTCCGACTTGACCAAACCGCGCACTGACCAGCGTGGTGAAGTATGGTCAAGCAACCCTCCATGGCTGAAATGTCATTGAGAGAGGGATTCATCTTGCGGTGTCCTAACATGGGGGCCGCAAATGAAATTGATCATTAATTACTTTATACGACACACAGAGCAGTGGCACTGTGGCTATTTAATTTCCCTATTTTTTAACTACGGCGAGGCGAGTTTTGATTCTCGGCTGTGCCTGAAATCTTTTGTGGGTGATACCTGAACCGCCGGTCCCCCCACTGTGCCTCGCCGATGTCGACTCGACTTCGCTTGTGGTGTGTAAATATCGGCGACTGGGGAAACCGGGGGGGGGGGGGGGTTGTTTGTGATGCGAGCCACACGAGTCTCCCGTACGCTGTGGCAGTCGTGATAGGTACTCACCAACAAGCACTTGGCCCCAACAAGCTGTCACTAAGGCTATATACGGGGGGGGGGGGGGGGGGGGGTGGGGGGGCGACAATGGTTGATCTATGTACTGTGGAATGCGTGGGAAGTCTGTAAACGACTCTGGGTCCGGTCGGGTATGTGGGTACAGGGATATAGGGACTATATATGTTCAACACGTAAGCTTTCGCGACCAATATTATTCATAAAAAAGGTTTTTGGGTTAGATCATGGACGTTTAAATGTGTCGTAGCCCTTCACGACCCGACACAGCCAGAAAGGTTTGTCACGTAATCACAAAACACACCGGTGGGCTGAAGTAGTAAACTAATTGGCGCGTTTTGTTTACGTGACAAACCTTACTGGCAGTGTTGGGTGGTGGAGGGTTACGACGCATTTATACTTACGCGATCCAACCCAAAAACCCTTATTATGGACTTTATTTATGTGTACAATATATGTATTTGAGTGACCTGGAGAAATATGGAAACCCTGTTCAACAGAAATAAATAACAATCCGGTGTCCGGCAACAACTGGCAGCGGCTATTTATGAATCGTATCGGCGCGTGCGGAATCCTTCCGTCGGGCTTAAACTTGCGCTGCGTGACGACAAGAGACGAGAGAGAGAGAGAGAAAAAACCCAAGCGTGGTAATTTCTTGTGATGCACAGGTTGGGTGTTGCCCGACCCAGAACTGGTTCGGCCTCCGTCGCTTGTCGGAGTTACAAAACCGGCTGCGGACGTCCCCTTCCGGCACACTTGTGTCGTGGGGTCCTCGCGTCCCCGAGATGTGCAGGTGGCCCCGAGGAGCTTGACGAGGCGAGGAGCGGCGCATCGCGATGAACATGATGGGTGTCCCTCCCCTACTCGGCGTGCACCAGGTGCCCCAGGTGAGCTGGCAAAAAAAATCGCCGCAGGAACCTCGGCCGACCGACCATAGAAGAACCACACCACCAACCCACACAACCCACACCACCCACACCACCAACCCACACCACCCACACATTACACCACCAACCCACACAACCCACACCACCCACACCACCAACCCACACAACCCACACCACCCACACATTACACCACACCACCTCACCCACACCACCACCCACACCACCCACACTACCCACCGAGCCCCGGCTCGCTGCCGCTGCTGCAGAGTGATGGAGAGGGAACTTTGTACGCTGACGCGTTCAGCCCGCCCGCAATGATTAACCCCCGAGCCGCCCTTTCTGGATGTGATGCGGCTCTCAATTCGGCACTTGGAATCGATATTTCCTTTCCCCGTGTATCGATAGTTCATTGTGTTCAATGTGTCATCTTACTGAGGAACTACTCCTGTGTGGTGTTATCTTGGTGTGGTCTGGGACTGGTTTGTTGTTGTTTTTGCTGCCTTGCCCAAGCGTGATGAATGTGACTCGTATAATTAATGTGTCTTCTCTATTTACATTTAGTGACTTTTTCTCTATTTTGCACTCCTATCGTGCTTGTTTGTATTGTTTGTCGTTGTAACTTGCTGACCTGCCCCTACTGGACATCTGTGACAAAAGAGCTTCAAAGCTCATCGGATTCCCCTTGCAGTCTAAACACATTCTAAAATTCGGATTTCAAGTTATCCTTATCATTATTATCATAGTGTCGCAAATGATTACAATTTCTGGTTGTTTATCGTTCATCAGTCTGTCCGGGTGCGCTTCTCTACAAACGAGAACGTGTTTTAGAAATTTAATAAAAAGTGCTCTGCTGATAATGTCTTAAATGCGTCGTATTTTTTTTGTTGTTTCGATTTTATTGTTGAGTAGCAGACCTTTAGGCATTGCGAATCGCGTTCTTTAGAAATGAATTTTGATCGATTTAAAAAAAAAAAACTGCTTAGCCGCCAACTTTGAAACGTTGCTTGTGAAATGTGTCCTTCCCCAAGGATTTTCATGAGGACAGCATCCTCGCTGGTTATCGGAACCCAAGGAGCTCGGCAAGGGAGTGCATCTATAGCATATTCCAGTTCACGAACGAGACGATCAACATTTGGACGCATTTTCTCCCAACATGGTAAAGTGGACTCATCGGTCCGTGGTTCTGTGTTCTGCACGTTGCACATTTTGTTTAGTGTTTCATTTTAAAAGCGCGCTTGCTCTTTGCCCTTTTTTTATACAAATGTTAGGTTGTTGGGAAGAGGAGGCAGTTAGACAATTATGAGTGTGTTACATGTTCTCTTAAATAAAATAAGAAATTGGGTTTTATCGCGTCATTTCAATGTGCCGTTGAACCCGCCGTCGCCGCCCGGCACAGCCAATTGACTGACAAGTTCTGTTTTCGTTTTGTGCCAAAGTAAAACGTGTCACGGGCTCCATAGACTATTTTGCATATTGTTTTATATTTTATTTTATTACTCTCCTGAACAATTGAGGATAGTTTGTGACAAGGTTTGTCGTGGCCAACGATCGTTATGTAAACGCCGCTGAAACTGTTCATGGTGGCGCTTCAGTCGCCCTGGCGTGAGGAGCGCCGTGTTGAACGTACACTATCCCCTTTAGAATCCTTTATCAATCGAGATCTGTTAACTGCTGGATGAGGGTCTCCCCAAGCCACAGCTATCTCTCGCCGATCTTGTAAGGCAGCATTCCGCCCAGCTCCTGCAAACCAGCCGATTTAGTTTTTTTTTGTTGTCTTCAGCGACAGTAACGCCGCCAAAGTCCACTTACTTTTCTTAACGGTGCAAACGTTGGGATCCTTTGGATTTGGGCCGAAGACGACACCGTTCCACAATGGCTGCACACTCGTGCGACCTTTTGAGAAGGCATTTTGAACGTGCGCTTTCCCACACCTGTGGTGATAGCTCGCTGCGGGAATTGCATGCCTGGGTGGGGTGTGCTGTGATCTTTTTGTCCTTGGAAGTCTTTGCAGCTAGCTCCTTGCCACTGTGTTCATTGGCAAAGAGGGGTGAAGTGACTGCGATTTTGAGATTTTACATTATGAATTTTATATCCACACGATGACTATTCAACCTGGTAAGAAATGTAAGTGGGCTTCGGTTGGACACGTCGCTAGAAGGGATGGCCGATGTTCAGGATCGATGGGAGTGGCGTTGGGCCCGAGGGATGGAACGCGTTCGAGGAGAGAGGAAACCCACCGATGAGACGGAGCGATGAAAGTCGGCTCGCGCGCCGGTGCTGTGCGACATCTTCATTACATCGCAAGTTTCGCGAGAGGCGGCAACGGTGGCAGTTTTCGGGAGAACTTAATCCGCCAGCGGATCGATCGTGATGATATTTTGCTCGCATCTCTATGAAAATTCGCAGATACTCGCAGGTGGCGAACCGCCAACTCCGTGCAGCGCTGTCGCGGACCCAAACGCAACCGGCGTATCCGTGCCACTCGCCGCCCCAACTGTGTTCAGAAACCCTCCGTTTCCGTTCCGGTTCGTCCCGTGGGGCAGGTACTTCGTGTGGTGGCTGCTGGTGCTGTGGGGCGAGGTGGACCTGCTGGGCAGGCCGTACCACCGGCCGCTCGCCGTCTTCATGCTGAGCTGCTGCGTCTACCCGATAGCGTCGACCTGCGCGCACACCTTCAGCACCATGTCGCAGCGCGCACGTCACATCTGCTTCTTCTTCGACTACGCGGCGCTGAGCCTCTACAGCCTCGGTAGGGGTGGGGGGGGGGGTGGGTGGGGGGCGGGGTCGCGGCGCCGTCGTTCAGAGCGTCGCACGCAACGTTCATATTTTGACACGCACCTCCCGTAAAGCACAGTTGGCTACGTACGGTAAGAAAGAAGTTCAATATACATACATCAGAAGTTGAATTGATTTCCAGTCCTGAGCCCAGTGGTGGATACTCCCCGTTCCTATGGCGGTGGCGAGTTTATCCATAGGACAACTGACTAATGTTGACTTCCCCACAAAGTGGTGCTCAATTTATGAAACCCATCCCCAAGAGGGATGATGAGCCGAGTCAACCCCCAACCAGGATGTGAACTCGCAAACTTCGAGATTGTAGGGCCATTCGCTCTACCGTTGAGCCACCCGGCCACACATACGCCCTGGCAAGATACATAATGTGTGCGTTGCTTCCGTTCGCTTCAGTGCAGGTTTGTGCAACCCTGCACTGATTCGCAAAGAATAAGAGTCACTTTCATTTCATTTGAATATTCTATATTCAATTTTTTACGTAGCTTTTTTCCCTGGTAATCATTTCAGCCTTTTTTTGCCCGGATGCTTGTATTTTCATGGTTTTATGTTTTCGTCAGGTGCTTTGAGATGCTGTGGCATTTAAGCACCCAATGAAGGCGAACCCTCAACCTTATCAACGTTTAAATCATCACGGAACTGGAGCCACATGAGCGACATTTGTGCACACCTCACCGGCGGGGGACCAGAGCTAGCTATAGACACCAGAATTCTGTTGACGACAGGTAAAAGTTCATCTCCGCTCGTGCGACCTCTACTCCGTGACCCCCGCAGGCTCCGCCATGGTCTACAACGCTTACGTTATCCCCGACAAGTGGCTGGGCGGCACTTTCCACCGGTGCTTCGTTCCAATCGCGCTGTTCAACACTGTGCTCTGCACCAGCATGGCGTGCTACAGCAGGTAACGCAGCCGTCCGCTCTGGCGCGGCGCTCAGCCCCGCGTCGAGAGTCAATTTCACCCGACCGTGGGGCAGTGCAGTCGCAATCTCCCCTGGGTGCCGGTCACATGAAAGAATGAAAAATATTTGCGTGGTTGGTTGTGACCGCGAGCCACCCACCCTCCCTACCACGGCTCGGGTTCCGATCTGCCCTGCTTTTTTGCGTCGCAAAGCGCTTCTGCGAAAGTCGATCCGTGACGGGCTGTCCCAGAGAGACTGCTTTGGGAGCGTTGGCTTGGCCGGACGGGGTGGAATTCCGTGGCTCGTTTCGGTAATTTTGCACCCCTCAAGTGCACGCGTACTCCACGCGCATCGCCGGTGGCGAGATGTTTACTACCTCGCCTGGTATCCGGGAGGTCGTGGGTGCGATCACGAGCCTTGTATGTTTGGGGTTTGCGTGTCTCTTTCTCTCTCCTCGTGGTTGTGTGGAATTTTCTCCGGGTCCTCCGGTTTTCCCCCTCCACGTGTAGAATCAATGTCACGCGTTGAAAGTATTTGGCTGCTATAAATTTCCCCGCGATAAGCCTCTCTGTTGAGCTATCGTTTGCGATGCCCTAGTCGCTTCTGAAAACATAACTATATTGCTCAGTGGGCCTTGACCTGGTAAAATAAAAAAAAAATCATCGTTTAGTAAAGTTCACTCGTGGCATATTCATTATTAGCGATGGGATTTTTTTGGGGGGGAGGGGGGGGGTCCTTTTTCAGCAGGTGTGCCAAACGTTTACGTTCTTTTCAAGGGGTGGGCAAAGTCGCTTGGGGTCCCTTGGAACGTTGCGGACCGTTGCGGATCGCCCGCACGTTTCCACGGCCGAGGCGGCGGCGGCGGCGGGGGAGGGTGGGTGAGGATGGAGGAGGGCAGGGGAGGGTGGGGGCTGTCGCCGCCGTGCATGTCGAAGGCTTCGTGCGCGATGTCGAACGCGTTTCGTCGTGAAACTCGTTGCGAACAAATTTCGGGGGGGGGGGGGGAGCCGGTGAACTTTCACTGCGGTCGCTTGACACCCACAGGAAGAAACTGGTTGACAACTGCATTTTGCAAATGTGATTTTGTAACTTTTATCCTTAACCCGTGTATCGAGAGTTCAATTGTAATGTGTGATTTGTATTGAGCGACTGTGTGTTTAACTTTGGTGTGGTCTGGGACTGTTCTTTTGCTGCCTCGCCAAAGCTTGGCCAATTGGTGTACTTATGCAATTTGAACTGATATATTTGATCTATTTTACGTGTTTTTATTTTTTGTGATTTCCTTTCCTGGACTTTGCACTCCTATCGCTTTTTTGTATTTGTTGTCGTAACTGTCTGACCTGCCCCAAGTGGACGTCTCTGAAAAAGAGCTTCAAAGCTCATCGGATTTCTCCAGGATAAATAAAGGTTCCGATTATGGGGGGAAAAATGTCTCTTTATATTGCTCGCCTCTCCACGACACATCTGCTGATATTGCCGATGTCATGTTGACTGAGCATGTTTAAATGATCTGTATTATCAGTGTGCATGTGGCCGTGTTCGTAAAACCACGTGGTCCCCTGGGCAAGTGTTGATCCCGTTTTGTCATTACAAAAAGCTGACTTTTAGATATTGTGAGTGCATAACTTCTCGCCTGAATGTTTTCTGGGTGGCTGGAAAGACTGGAGCCGGCCTCGACAGCGATACAATGGATGTGGTGTTCCGAGTGTATAATTATTTTCCAGATCGCTGACCGGCTTCCATTGTGTTTCGTAACCGCAAAGCTGGTTCGCACGATTCACAAATGTGTTTAAAAAAATATATATTTTTTTTCAACTGTGAATTTTAAGTTCTCCCTGATGTTTTGTTGATTTTTGTTTTCATCATTTACCCATCAGGCTTGGGTTGCCATTCATCCATTACAATCGTTTCACACTTGAAAGGTGAGCCCACCTGCATGCCCGCCCTTGTTTAGTGCATTAATTATAATCTGAGCGCATCGCTATGCAACACTCTGCTTTCATCGTCCGGACCTTCACATTTGAGTCGACGATCATTTATTTCCCGCACATTCTACGGTTGCTGTTGTGGATCGCGTTACGTCGCGCCTGTCGATTTTACGGGAACAACAAAGTAAAATTGCATCGTCAACAATCTTACGTGTCGCGTGTTTTTTTTTTGCAGTTCCCTGGAGTTGAAGCGGCCGCGCATGGCTAAGGTGCTCAGGGTAGTGGCATTTGCCTTCCCCTACCTGTTTGACAACATTCCCCTCTTCTACAGGGTGCGTCATCCACTATTAATTCGCCCCACACCTTCCATTTATAAACGACGCAATGTCTTTTAAGCGCTTGTGTAACAGGGTATAATTTCATGCATTTGTACAACTCCCACTGGATTCTCAAGCACGCTCGTGTCAGCCAAGCACATAACCAACCTCAACAACAACCGCCATTCGCCACCAAGTGGCGGTTACGTCACCACGACGCTTGTGCCAGGATATGTGCACCGATGGGACTTTGCCCAGATCTTTCAAGGATTTGTGAGCTCCTCACACAATCCCGCCTGGTTAAATCCAGGATGGATCGTAGGCAGGCCAGCCTAAATATTTCTAACCGGCGAAGATGTTACATTAGGGGGGTCCACGTTTCACAAGCGTAGAGAAGGGAGGGAATGACCGTGGCCGACAAGACCTGAAGCTTCGTGCGGAGCGGCAGACCAGGTAGCTTCCACACAGCGTTACGCAACCAATAAAAAGATAATGCCGCTCAACTGATTCAGATATGGAAACTCTCCACTCTCTCCACAACTGCCCCATCACCAATTGGGAGTTGTGGGGGTGGAGTGTCCGATGGTACAAAATACCCAGGCAAGTGCTTAGTTTTGGTGGGGCTTATGGTAAGGCCCCACCTCTTAGTAGCAAGCTCCAGGTTCAGCAGCAGCGCCTCCAACTCCTCTGAGTGAGCAGCAATTACCAGATCTTCTTGGTTCTTTCGGTAAAGTCACGTAGAAGGGAAATAATAAAATAATAAAAATTAAACAACACAAGTAGCCTTCACTTGGTGAAGTAGCCTTGGTGAAAGCTACTTGTGTTGTGGCCGAAACGTCGTGAGAATTTATTTAATGTTTTATTTTTATTATTTTATTATTTCCCTTCTACGTGACTTTACCGAAAGAACCAAGAAGATAAATCCCTGCAGTCACGAAAGCTTTAAATCGAAAATTACCAGATCATCGGCATACATAACGTGGTTGACCAATAGGGAGACATCCCTTGACCGCACCTGGGCATCGATTAGCCTCCCATTGTATCTGTACCAGATGGAAATTCCTCTGGTACAGCTATCGAAGGCTTCACGAACTACTTGGTCAAAAAAGATGTTAAATAATGTGGGAGCCAGAGGACATCCCTGTCGCACTCCAAGGTGAACAGGGAATGGCTCCGACTCCCGGCCACGTAGTTTTACCCAGGCCCGCGCACCATCATGAAGGTCCTTAATGATCGTGAGCAGAGGGTCAGGGACTCCGAAAGCACGGGGCCTCCGGCACAAGCTTAATTAGATATTTTATACGTGATTTTGTGGTAATTAATTAAAAGTGGAGGGGTTACCAGCTCCTCGCACCCGCCCAGAGCCCCCATTTGGCCGCTGTGGTGGTTACAAACGCCATGAGGGGAATGGCCAATCTAAATTGGCCCTACCCCCCACAGCACTGCTCATCACAGCGTTGCCGTCCGGCACCAATGAGGAGGTAGGGGGTTGTTTTTGGCGGACAAAACAACCTCATACACACACACACACACCCCCTGAATGAGGATTGAACATTGGCACAGTGATTAGTTTTGAGTTCTTCGGTTAATGTCAGTGGTAAGGTGAGATCTTAACCCTGTTCCTGGGCAGGGCACCGCACAACCCGCTTCTCCCGATTTGTGGTTAAGTATGATCAAGCACCCTCCAGTGACTGACAAGGCATGGGGAGGGCTTCAGCGTGCAGTGGATTGACCGAAGGGCGGAACATTTATTGTCGCACAAATCATTACTCTGGTTTGTCGCCGGTAGAGAAACCTGCAGCTCTCCTTGCACCGTAGGCGAATGACCAAAGCCGCTTTTGTCCAGGAGATAACCTCTGCTGAAACATTCAGGGGGGGGGGGTGTCTCCTGGGGTAACCCGTACCTTCGATTAGCACATCTGGCTACAAACTTGGCTTTTTAAACTAAACTTTGCTTTTTAAACTAAACTTTTTATTTTATTTTACCAGGTAAGGCCCACTGAGCTATATAGCTCTTGTTCAGAAGTGGTGACCTGGCTCTCACAAATGTTAGGCCAACGAAGTGGCTTATCACGTGGAATTGTATAGCAGCCAAATACTCTAAATGCACGTTGACTCGAGATGTTGAGAGCGGGCAGATTAAGTGGATGACGGTGATTTGTTAAGTGCATTGTGCGGCTCGCAGTGAGATGATTCAACAGTGCATTGTAAAGTGTTCCGTGACGCTCGCACTTAAGACACCGAATATGTGTTACGGATTAGTTTATGATTGAACATTTTTAGATTTTGGCTTTTCAAAGACACTTTTGGGGCCATTTACACGAGATACTAATTGAATTGCAATTGTGCAACAAAATTGACATCACATGGCATCGGGTGACATCACCTTATGCAATTAACAACACTTCTGGTGACGTCACATTCTTGGATCGATCAAAATAATACATTTTAAAATAATCCGAATCATCCATAATTTAAATGCAAAGCCAATTTGATAGAATTTTCGAATTCATTTGAAAATTGGGAACCCCGTCCATATAATGTGGGTTATCAACCTTTTTTTCCCCAAGACAACGTCCTCAATTCACGAGTTGCCTCCTCTGTGTGCGACGGTGCCATTCGCAGATCTTTCTGTGCTCCGGAGAGGGATGCACAGACAACGAAGCCGTGCCAACTCATCGTCTGCACACTTTATTTGCCTTCCTCACCGGCTTCCTCTTTGCCACCCACCTGCCGGAGCGCCTGGCGCCCGGCGTCTTTGACTACGTCGGTAAGGAACAGTTAACCTTGCGTATCGTTGTCATAAATAAAATAAAAATCTAACACCCACTGAACTGTTTTAAATATCAATTGCAATATCGGCGCGAGGGCATATGCAATCGAACACGCTTTTTCCCCCTACTTCAATTGTCAGCCAATGAGTTTGTGATACCGATGCAGCCACTGGAGGCGCTATATCCACCATAATGTAAAAAAAAACCTTAAATATTGGGTTTTTTCCATTGAATCTTAACCTTGCATCAATAAAATAAATTGAATGGGAATGAGTGATGGGTGAAGTCATCCATTCGGGATCAGAGCAGCTACATCACTTATACGAAGGTGGGGGCAAAAATCCAGAAATGCCATCGCGAGCCAACTCCTTTTGTGGCTCTCTAACGACATCTCCATGACTGCGGCGCTCAGCGGTGTGAGTCTCGTACCTAGCGGTGCGAGTCTCGTACCAAGCGGTGTGAGTCTCGTACCTAGCGGTGTGAGTCTCGTACCTAGCGGTGCGAGTCTCGTACCAAGCGGTGTGAGTCTCGTACCTAGCGGTGCGAGTCTCGTACCAAGCGGTGTGAGTCTCGTACCAAGCGGTGCGAGTCTCGTACCAAGCGGTGCGAGTCTCGTACCAAGCTGTGTGAGTCTCGTACCAAGCGGTGCGAGTCTCGTACCAAGCGGTGCGAGTCTCGTACCAAGCTGTGTGAGTCTCGTACCAAGCGGTGCGAGTCTCGTACCAAGCGGTGCGAGTCTCGTACCAAGCGGTGCGAGTCTCGTACCAAGCTGTGTGAGTCTCGTACCAAGCGGTGCGAGTCTCGTACCAAGCGGTGCGAGTCTCGTACCAAGCTGTGTGAGTCTCGTACCAAGCGGTGCGAGTCTCGTACCAAGCGGTGTGAGTCTCGTACCAAGCGGTGCGAGTCTCGTACCAAGCGGTGTGAGTCTCGTACCAAGCTGTGTGAGTCTCGTACCAAGCGGTGTGAGTCTCGTACCAAGCTGTGTGAGTCTCGTACCAAGCGGTGCGAGTCTCGTACCAAGCTGTGCGAGTCTCGTACCAAGCTGTGTGAGTCTCGTACCAATCGGTGCGAGTCTCGTACCAAGCTGTGCGAGTCTCGTACCAAGTCTCGTTCAAAACGGTGCGAGTCTCGTACCAAGCGGTGCGAGTCTCGTTCAAAACGGTGCGAGTCTCGTACCAAGCGGTGCGAGTCTCGTACCAAACACGGCCAATTCTTCCATGTTATTTTTTTTAATCGTCGCCAATAATATTCGCCGTCGACCGCTGACTTCAAAATCCCTGCGACGTGCGTCTGCAGGCCACAGCCACCAGCTGTTCCACGTGTCTGCGATCGTGGGCACGCACTTCCAGATTAAAGCGGTGCTGCTGGACCTGCACTCGCGCGCCGACTGGCTGAGCACGGCCTCTGTGGCAGCTCCTTCGTTGCTCGAGACGGGTGGCGCCTTCTGTCTGGCCATCGCCCTCAACCTGTTGGTGATTGCGTTTTTTGCCGTCGGACTCTACAGCAAGCAGCAGCAGCAGCGGCAGCAGCCGAATCCCGTTCAGGACAACGGGGCGATCAACCTGCCCAAGAGTCACGCAGAGTAGCTGTTGAAGGTTTTCCCCACGACGGATTTGTTCTAGCGACAGGTGGTGATGAAAATGTGTTTTTAGCTCTGTTTTCACTCCTTTTAACCCAACTGTGTTATCGGCATCATGAGAATCGATTCGGAACGCTCGCAGAGTAGCAGTGCAACCATGTCCATATTACTCATTGTTTTTTTTCGGTAAAGTCACGTATGTAGAAATACCATAAAATTATATTAAAATAAATCAATCACGACGTTTCGACCGCAACACAAGCGATCTTCATCAGGTCTAAAAAACAAATAGCGAGGGAGTATATAGGGTGACATCAACGCAACACATAGAGAGCGTTAAATTGCACGGAGGTAAATACAACAAGAAGATGAGAGACGAGAATTCAACAAACCTAAGAATAAATTATGTGATGCAAAACCAGTCAGGCCAACAACACAGTTAGACACTTGCCTGGCGGACCACGAATTTCAGAAGAGTGCTAAATTTCGTGTTCATCCTCTGGGTTGAACATACCAGCATAGACAGAGTGAACAAATACGAGGTACAAGGCAGCAGACATACATATACAGGGACACCAAGAGGCAAGAAAAAGGGCCGGAGGATCTTCTTGTTGTATTTACCTCCGTGCAGTTTAACGCTCTCTATGTGTTGCGTTGATGTCACCCTATATGCTCCCTCGCTACTTGTTTTTTACACCTGATGAAGATCGCTTGTGTTGTGGTAGAAACGTCGTGATTGATTTATTTTAATGTAATTTTATGGTATTTCTACATACGTGACTTTACCGAAAAAAAACAATGAGTAATTTATGCAGTCACGAAAGCTTTAATTCTTCATGTCCATATTGTTAAGAGGACGGCCTGCAGATACGGATATCACAACTACTTTCTCTAATGACCTCTGGTTCAGACAGTAAAGGGAAACACTTTCCAACCCATGGTGCAAAGAGCTATTCGTAGTACAACGGTTACCGCCGATATCTTTGAATTCCTAAGACTGGAGTTTCTCCAAATTTGGTGCAGATCCAAACTCGACATGATGCGTTTATTTTTTATTTTGGCCAACTCATTGTTGATCGGTTTGCTGCCCGGATTCAAAGCCAGGACTCAGCGCTGTGACCTGAGCCACCTTTTGGCCAACCTTATCGTTGTATTATTTCAGCTGCTGTGGGCCACAGCGGCCAACTCTGTAGATGGGCAAAACTGTTTTTTTTTTCTCAAGAACCCTGCTTAGCACCTTGACCACTGAGGGCCGCACGAAAGTCGTTGGTACGAGCACAAAAGCACAACTGTCTTATGTCCTTGCACTAATACAAAGCAACACTTATGGCCACGTGTGGAATATAAAAAAAAATACTCGGTATAACCCAAGGGTAATACTTTTGACATTCCTTCGCTTGAGGAATATCTCTAGACACCCGGGCGACGGGTCACTTTGCAGTTGAGAATTGAGTATGGAAATCAAATATACATTTTTGCAGTATAGCGGGTGCGATTTTGCTAAGGTGCCTATCTGTTTTTTGCTGGAAGGTGTGAGATTAGTTTTGTTGTGATTTTTTTTTCGTAAAAATGTCGATAAGAAAATCCACCGTCCGCTACGGTGGCCAAATGCTGTACGTAATGTTTAACTGCTCACGGACCTTATGAATATTATCGAAGTTTTTTTCTTGTATACAATTGTTGGGTACTTGAAAGTGGGTTTTTTTGTGCAAATGCGTTCCACGGCCTATACTGTCATGTAAACTACACTTTTAAGGATCAGCCTAACATTTTTCTATTTGTGCACAATGCTCCAGATGCTGTCGATGAATCGACTCTCGTTGACGTTGTACGTTTTAAGTGTGGCATTGCGAGGCACTGTACTTGGGATGTAAACCGCGAGGCCTCGGCTGGTTTATTGTTCTGTTCTTTTGGTTCACGTTTGAGGTTCACTTTCTATTGAACAAGTCATCGGGTTTTTTTTTTACCCTTTTTAGTTCAAGAACGTAAACAGGTGATGGAAATGTGATAATTTTTGGACGTCTAAATAAAAATGGTAAATTACGGAAGCACAGAAAACCGGCGTGCACACCCCTCGGTTGTGTTTGTCAGGTGGGATGTTGCAAAATGTCACGTGGCGTGGGGCTGGTTACCAGTGCTATATTTTTTTGCCAAACCCCCCCTAACCTACAATTAAAGTTCTCACTTTGCCGTATTGCACGTTACCTCAAACAGGTGTGGGAGACATTGCAATCGTTGTTGTACACTTATAATTTTCTACGCCGTGCTCGTTTCTCCACGGGTTTAATATGCAAATCGGTGCAATGCTTTAAAAGTTACTTTTTTATCGACAAGTGTACCATGTACAACTGGTTAAATCGTTGGTGAAGGGATTTCGGGATATTTTCAAGTGCCTTTTTTATATTTGTAATTTGCTGTCGCAACTTTACCGAAAATAAATCATGTTTGGAATTGTCAGTCTTTATAGAATATTTATAATAAAACTGCCTTTCAGTGAATGGGCACATTCGCGGATAATGGCTTTGTCTCCGATTATTTTGTCTCTGCTCTACGTGACAAGGCGAAAGTGTGGGAATGAGTTATTCTTGCTATGCCTGGTAAGTGTCCACGTAGTCTGCTACACCGCACCCACCGCTGACGTTGCATGCTGCAGCGTATTTTAACGCTCGAGACACTAATAACAATTCCATTGGGGGCTGTAAAGCTAACGGAAATGGGTTTCGGGCAGGCTTCACTCTGAATGTGATTGACACTGGCACTTGAGGGAATTGACTCTCTGGTTGCACTATTGAGCTATATTGTAAGCAAGGCAAAGGTGCTCGACCACTTGCATGAGAATGAGTGTGTGTGTACAATTGTGGGGAGCGCTACGAACCCGGCGACCTGAGTTCGGTTAACACTACCGGCCAGCACCAGTGACGATGTGAACCGGTCCTGGGCCTTTCCCGAGGTCGACTCAACCTCAAATGAGTACCTGGTGTGGCGTGTCGTAAACATCGCTACGAGGTAGACAAAGGCGTGGTGCTGGCTACCCACCCCCTCGTATGCCGAACCGGCCTTCAAAGGTGCTCGCTAATAGCACATGCCCCCAACAGTCTGTTCAGGCTATACGGGGGATCTTTGTTTGCATGTGCAAATAAGCAGGTGTAAAGGATTGATTTGGGGGGCTCATTCTAGCTCAATGCAACACCGAACGTGGCAGTTCTCGCCGTTGGTGCCAGCAACGAGAAGTGGCGCAGGGGGAATCTGATGGCGAGTGGAACCCCTCCAGGCTGGATTTAACTTCCTATCGTCCGGCCAGATACATGCACACAGCTTTGCACCGACAGGGATGGTGACTGCGGGGTTTTACCCCCCGTTTGTGGCTACAACAGCAGGGACCCGTTATGCGATGTACGGCAGAGCAACGAGGACGCGCAGGTAATAAAAGCCGACAACCCGGCTGTGTCCACTCGTTTGTTTACATCTTCCTGCAACAAACGTGTCGATACCCATCTCCCAGGGTTTAAACCCGTCCCTGACAGTGTACCGTGGAGTTGGCGCATAGCCAAAACGAACACGAGTGCGCCATTGTGAACACTTGTTGAAATGGGGGCGGGTACTCAAGCAAGATGCGATTCAATCGCATGGAACAAAAACAATCTCGCACGAAACCCCAGAGTAAACGAATGAGTTTGTATTCTATACAGGAATTATAATTTTATCGCAGCTACTGTGTTCTTGTATGCAATACCGGCAAAGTCGGTGCCTGGCACGAGCTTAGTCGTTGGCGTCAACGTGATACGTTTAATACAGGGGTTCCAAAGCCACGTTTTACAAAGGCGTGTTTGTGCACACACTTATTGCTTGCACCCCTTGATATTCATCATTCAAATGCCAGGGCCCACGAGAAGGAATTTAAAAAATGTAGAGATAAGCAGAGGGTGGGGAAACAACAAATCAGGAGACAGTTGAGTTTTATTATTGTTGCTTACGTAACATTCATACTTAAACTGTACCTTCATCACAAAACAAAGGAGCCACAAAACACGTGAATGCATTGAGCGTTTCATAATCACATTTCCACAGCGGCATTACTCCGTCTCACTTTAACGTGGGGTTTTATTTTTTTGCCAAACTAATGAATACGATAGCACTTTGGACATTATCTCAACATCACATTGGTGGTAATTGAAACGGCACTTTAAAAGAAACATCGAAACGGGTAACTTCCCAGTCAAGGTTGCAATTGTATCTATCATGCAATCAAGAACGCCGCCGTGGAAATCCAACACTGCCACCTTTCGGCGTTCTTCAGCCTTTACTTAACTCCTCACGACTAAAACTTCATGTTGAAGTGGAACAGAGTCGACGAGTGGATCGTGGACATTTTGAGGAGGAAATCCAGGTAGGCTGTGCTACACGTGGAAGATGTGGTTGAGTTTATTGCGAGCTACGTCCACGTCGTCCCTCAGGAAGTAGAGCTGGTCAATGGTGGGCGTGTGCCAGCGGTTGGAGTTGTACACGCTCTCGCCAACCTGGAGGGGCAGAGCGGGCAGCATCCTTCAAGGATAAGCAGCAAGTTCACGTTGTCTATATTCCTGTTTAAAGTAAACAGCTGCTGCTATTACTGCCACTGGGCATAAACGGAAACAGAAGGTGCCGTCTCGGACATTAAAGGTTTTTTCAGTTTAACACGTAAGGAGGCTTTTGCGACCAATATTATCGAAAAGAGGTTTTTTTTTAGTTAGGTTTTTTTAAACGTGTCGTTAAACCCGCCACCACCGGACACAGCCAATTCGTAACGTCTGTCATGTAAACAAAACATGCCAATAAGTTACCAGTTGAGCACACCGGTGTGTTGTAGAGTAAACCCACAATATTTACAATTCGAGTACGACATTTCGCCGGAAATTACAAAGGCTTTCCACCACACGTTTCGACCGCTGGCTGCGGTTTGTACTGCCAGCGCAATCACAAAGGTCACAAGTAAAATTAAGACACACCCTTCAGTCACGTGACTGAGGTCAAACGCATATGGGCCAATGACATCACTTGGCACCCCCACCTTAATGTCAAAGGACACATGGGGTAGATCCAAGCTAAACCAGCAGTGACTAAAGCACCTTCTGAGGTCGAACACATTCCGAAACGTTTCATTGACGATGTAAGAATGTTGATCTAACATTCAACCGGAACATAAAACCAAGACTGAAAATCATTTGTATTTTAAGAATCCATACTCTTTGGTTCTTTCGGTAAAGTCACGTAGATATAAAATAAAATAAATCACGACGTTTCGGATGCAACA